AAGATAATGAGAATAAATCAGGCAAATAGTAATGTGGTTTCTCTTAATGGCACCCCACTCCAATTCGTGGAGTCGTACACCTATTTAGGCAGTAATGTAGATAAAGATGGAGGAACTGATAGAGATATTAAAATTAGAATACAAAAGGCAAGAGGGGCTTTCATAGCACTAGGGAATTTGTGGAGGTCAAAAGAAATTAAAAGAAATACTAAACTAAAAAAATTTTAATTCTAATGTCAAATCAGTACTATTGTATGGGTCGGAAACATGGAGAACAACCAAGGCAATTACTAATAAATTACAGACATTCATTAACTGGTGCCTGCGCAGAATAGAGGGAATAAAATGGTATGATAGAATAACTAATGTAGAACTTTGGGAGAGAACTAAACAGGCTCCAGTGGATCAGGAGGTGGGGAAAAGACGCTGGCATTGGATAGGGCACACACTGAGAAAACAGGAGAACAGCATAACTAGAATGTCTTTGCATTGGAACCCACAGGGGCATAGGAATAAAGGAAGGCCAAAAAACACATGGAGAAGAGAGCTGGAGAATGAGGTTAGAAAGATTGGGAGGACATGGGGAGAGCTCCATGCAATTGCGAAGGATAGAACGACTTGGCGTGAGTTGGCTGAGGGCCTATGCTCCATTGGGGGATAGAAAGGCAGAAGAAGAAGAATAACAGGTTGTTCTTAGATATTTACTTTTTTTTATTATATATTAATTAGCCTAAAAAAACTGCATCTGCCTTTCTCCCCCTCTATTTCTCTCCATCCTTCCTACCTTCTATTTTCTTCTTTCTGTCCCTTCCTCTCTGACACTCTTTTTCTCCCTGCCACCCTCTCCTCTTTCCCTCTCTCCAGTTCACTTTGCTTCAGGTACTTATGGAAATACTATATTTTTCTATTCATAAGACAATATGTTTTCCAAAATTTTTTTAGTTTAAAATGGCGGATTGTCTTGTACACAGAATGTGTTTAAAATATTTAATTCTTCATTGTGGACTTTACAAGGAATGTGTTTAAATATTTATTTCTAAATTTTGACTTTAAATAATCAGGCACCATCTCACGGTAGAAATATACAGTATTTATTGTTGTTCATATTTATTGTTGTTTGTATTTATTGTTGTTTGTTGCAGCGCTGACAGTGACTCAGACACAGATTCTGGTGTTCTAGTCCCAGGTGCAGGTTCTCCTAAAGATATCAGTAAGGGGGAAGGTAAGAAACTGTCATGTCTTCTCACATTTCTTTCACAGACTCTTCCTCTTTGCGTTCACTGGCTGTTAACTCCAGTTTAAAATTGTGGTTGTTCGTTTCTTGACTCTGGTCTTGTTCCAGAACTGGAGTTTTGTGTGCGCATATTTTTTTTTTTACAGATATGACTGCTTCCTGTGATCAAATTTTGATTTACATGGACAGACAAGTTCTTGGGATAAACTTTAGACTGTTTTTAGCAGTTCCATTTTAGGTCCATACAACTCTGAGTACAGTGTTGACTCACTGATCCAGTATTGACTTCTTAATGGGCTAGACACAGTGGGGAACTACTTAAATGTAGCTTGTGCATTTGCTTGTTAAGTTTGTTATGTCCTGTCCTGAGGTGTAGAATTATGACCTGGCCAGGCCGGTGAAGTAGTTAGTTATTTAGTCGACGGATTATCCTCATTGCACAGCAAACCATTCAGTCCATGAGTTCTTGGATCCTCTCTTGTCTGCATTTTCTGTCTAGTCGGATGCAAACAGGAAAGCTCATAAAGCACTATGTTGGTACTTGTACCCATTCATCACCAGGTTCTATGCCGCTCACCTAAGTGGTAGTCATCTCTGGCCAGATACAGATGTGGCTTATTTGTATGCAAACTGTTGGTATCTCACCTCTCAGGCAGATGAGCTCTGAGTTGCCTCCTACCACATGCTTGTTAGAGAGGCAGTGGATCTGTTATTTATTCCTCAATATGGGGTCCCGGAACCCACACTGGGGTCATTAGCTCATTCAAGTAAAATGTTTTCACTTTATCACCACATTAGTATGTAAGTAAGTCTGTGACCCTTTTCACATCCTTGACCCTTCTGGCATGTGGTGCTAAATATTTTTAAACCAATCGGTGCTCAGCGGGTGATGTGGTCAGCATCTGGCCAGCCTCCTTGATCTCCAATGACTTTACCTGTTACCTCTGCACCTAGGCCCATTTCCAGTCGTCTCCACATAGTCCTGCCATTGGATCAAGATGGACACAGACGAGAGAGTGAGGTCGACGAATTGCGCAACTCTTCCTCACTTAAATCTAAGTCCTTGTGCAAGTCACTTTCAGTCCCTGTTACCGACCCGTGAAGGTTCCTGGGCAGCATTTTGGAGAACAAAGAACAGAGCCACTGCCACCCTAGCTAGCATGTAATCTTCTTCTTTCTTCTTTGCGTTCACCAGCTGTAAACTCTAGTGGAAAGTTCTGGTTGTTCATCCACTTCTGGACTGCAGTCCTGTTCCAGAACCTGAGTGTTGTGTGTGCATCTGTTTTACAGATCTGAATCATGTGTATGCAGACTGCTGGTTCCTTGCCTCTCATGCAGATGCACTCTGACTTCGTAGGAAACTAGCATGTAGTGTTAAGTGACTATAATTAGGGGTGCTTTCTTCAAGGTCAAAGTGCATCTGCCTGAGAAGTGAAGAAACCAACAGTCTGCATACAAATAAACCAGATCTGTAAAATAGATGGCATTCAGACCTAAGTTCTGGAAAAAGACCAAAGTGTAGACATGGACAAACAACCAGAACTTTCTATTAGTATTTGCACTTGGTGAACATGCAGAAGAAGAAGGAGGCAAAAATCTGCCTTGACATAGATTTAAACACTAGTCCTGTGGTCCAACAATCAGGTGTCTAACCATTAAGCCACTACAGCTAACATTATGTTAACAGATCAAAATGGTTCAAAAGTAACTCCCTTTGTTCAATACTAGTTGACCGATGTGGATGTTGCACAATAACCTATGTTTTAAATCACAGATGAGTATCAAACCAGTGTTGACAGAGAGATAGAACAGTACGCGTTACACCCGGACCTAGTTCCAGAGAGCAAGTAAGTTGTCAAAGCCAGGACTGATCAACTGTACTACTTTTGATTTTATTTTAATAATATCATAACTTGCTTTAACAGGCATTATGGGGGTGGGAGACTGCAGTGGTTCAGGCATCTATAGAGAGACAGGTAACAGGGAGACTGCAGTTGTTCAGGCATCTATAAAAAGACAGGTAACAGGGAGACTGCAGTGGTTCAAGCATCTATAGAGAGACAGGTAACAGGGAGAGAGGTGATATAGTTATATAGAGACAGGTGACACAGGGACAGGTGATGGAGAGATGACAGAGAGCTGGGTGACTGACAGAGAGACAGGGGACAGAGAGACAGCTGACAGAGACAAGTGACAGAGAGAGAGAGAGGGACTGGGTCACTTAGGCGTTGAATGGGTGGAGGCATGGGCAGACCAGGGAGAAGGTGGTGAAATAATATACAGGCCGACTTGCAGACACATGGGTTCATCAGCTAGAAAGGGAAATCCAGTCACAGAGATGAATGGTGGTGGGTGATATCTGCAGCACTGAACCTCAAGGACTTGGAATACTGAAGAAGAAAAAGATTATCATTATGTAGCTGGTCCTTTGCAGAACGTTGTATATCATGGCATGCTAGAATGTCACTGACTCTTTTGCCAGTTTTCCTGCCTCATTAACTTTCACACCCAGGGTATCCTTGGCATCTGGGTCCTCCTCTGCCTCTTCTAGGAATCATGGCCTTTATTACTATTTTCTCCACACCAGTGGTTTCCAGTTACTTGAAACCTGGGGAACCCTAAGGGTCAATTTTGAAAGAAATCTGACTCGACGCTGATTTCTTCTTTTTCTTCTTCATTCCATTTGTCTGAGTGAGGTAATTGCCTTGTGCTTGTTTACATCGTAACTGCGATATTTACGCTTTTTGGCTGACAACATCCCAAAATGTTACTATAATCTTGACATCCTTTTTAGGATGCAATTTTTCGTTGTTTGAAGCCCTACTCTGGCTTTTGCCAGGGGCCGCAATATAGCCTGGCCATAAATATGGCCTTAAGGCGCGGTTTCTGGGACCTCTCCACGGTGATCCTCACCCACATGGTGGTACATTGTGTCATCGGGTGTTTATCGCTTGTGTGATGTCCCGGTGGGGTAGAAAGTCAGTCGTCAGTCAGACAACATCCAACTTTATCAGGAATTTGTTCACCGGGTTAGCAGTATGGATTTGAACCCTTGACCTGTGGTCTGGCTGGCAGTTGTCTAGCCACTATGCTTATTTGCCTCCTGGATTTTGTGGTTCTGGAAAAAAAGACTAAAGTCCAAAACTTTCCGCTGGTGTTTACAGCCGGTGAACGCAAAGAAGAAGAAGATTTCCTATGACTGAACACTTTTACCCTGAGAAGCCCCAGGACCGACAGTTTCAGTCAGGCCCAGTCCCCAGGAAATGTCACTCTTCTGATTTGTCTGTAGTGACCTGTTTATGTGACACATAATTAATGTTGTTGGCTGTTTTCACATCTGTACAAATGTAGGAGGTCATGATGTGACTGCATTAACTACTGATAGCATTTTGAGACAAATAGCTTTTTAAAGCCAAGTTGAGGTTACATTTTCCCCTAGTCACACTTATAAAGGTCAACGGGTCATGGCTTGAGTCGCCTGATACTTGGGAAAAGTATTCCATTTCATGCTTCACATTTTTCATGTTTATTCATTAATTTCTTCATTTATCTTTGTAAAAAAAAAATTTTTATGTGCAGGTAAAAAAAAAAATCAGTTTACCTCTGTCAAATTGGTTTTAATTTTAGGATTTTTAATGGAATTCCAACGGGGTCATGAACCCTTTTTTTTTTTGTGTTACCACAGCAAAAGGATTAAACATATGTCTCTTACACATGTTCCCTGGCAGTACAGAAAGTTGTTACCTAAAATATTGTCTCTTCCCAGGCAACAGTTCACCTCAAGTCTAGAAGAGAATGGCAGTGATCTTGCAGACAGCTTGGAATTTTACCAGAAAAGGTTAAGTCGGATCATAAATGAAGCCAACAAACCTAAAGGCCTGTACATTTTCCATGGTGAGATATAATTCATCATCATCATCATTGTGCCGTTTTATATCACATAGAGCTCGCAATGTGCATTCTGTCCTGCACAATCAGTTCCATCACATGGACTAGGTCCAGTCCAGCACTCTTGGCCTCTCTTATCACTGTCTGTTTTCGGGTTGCTTTTTTGGTATCCTCACTTTTGTATCCTCTGTTTTTTCCCCATTTTAATGCCTGTTTGGTGATTCTCTGCTTGCTTCATCTCAAGATGTGTCCAATATTTTCTGTGTCTTATATCTGTTGATACCAATAGTTGTCCAGACATTTCTCTTGTTTCTTCACCCATTGTGAATTCATCTCATTTTATCTTAAACATTTTCCCTAAGCATTTGTTTTTAAATGCATTTAACTTTCATTCTGTGTCTTTATGGGTCTCCAACTTTCTCTGGCATTTGTAGAGTTGTCTTGAGCCTTTCAGTTTCTGATTGGGTACTCCGTAGGATTCATAAAATGTTACTGCAACCCACCCAACCCTACCCCAAATGAAATTACAATGCCCAAACTGAGTATTCATCCAACTAACTTATCGAGGTGATGATGTTATGCAGCATCTCCAGGGCCGACTAAAAACAGCTCTTGGCCAAACATTCTTTGTGGCCCTTGTTCCAGTAGTGAGGTACCAGACCACTCCTATCCCACCCCACCCATTAAAGAGCGTGTGTCTCCATACACCAAATCCAATTGTATTTATCAGTTTACATGTAAGTGCCAGTTGACTTACATTGGTCGGACGGAGAGACAGCTTGGAAATAGAGTGACAGAGCATATACCCAAATGGCTACAAACACAGTTTAGTCTTCTTTTTTCTTCTTCACGTTCACCAGCTGTAAACTCTGGCGAAAGGTTCTGGTTGCTCGTCCACTACTGAACTGCAGTCCTGCTCCAGAACCTGAGTGTTGCGTGTGCATCAGTTTTACAGATCTCATTCTCTTTAATATTCATAATATGCATAACATCATATGATCATAACATGCTTTATTAGTAAAATACAACTGCTGTGCGAAAGATGGTTGACTGGAGGGGGCCGAATGTAAGACTGGCCTGCGTGCCCAATTTGTGACCCTTTGAAAATAAAGTTCGTTCGTTCGTTCGTTCGAATACAGACTGTTGGTTCCTTGCCTCTCCAGCAGATGCACTCCGACTTCAAAGGAAGCTCCCCAATTAGTCGACTCTTACGACATGCTTTTTGGGGAGGCAGTGTGTCTATTCTTGTTTTCCCCACAATGGGGCCCTGAAACCCACACGGGGGAGACAGTTTAGTGATTCTTCAAGGGTGTCGAAACCAGTCAAGAAGAAAGAACCCACTTCTTCTATGGGACATTATTTGCTTAAATCTGGACACTTAATTGACAAGGACAGTGCTTTCCATGTGGTTTACCACAAGCTGAACAGGTGACTGCTACAAATGGCCGATGCTTTAACAATTAAAATCAATAACCCCCTCCATTGTAAGCAGATGGAATTTATAGTAAATTTGAAGTTACTTTGGTAAGTCACGTGACTACAGTAAACTTCCAGTGACTAGATAAACATGATGCATCGAAAGAAACTATCTGCATTTCAGTTTGATTTATTCAGTTTTTTCTTCATTTTATATTGATGTAACTCTGTAGTAATGCACCTGACGAGATACAGCGAAATATACAGGCGAGATGTGCTGGTCTTTCATTCAGGCTTGGTGACCTATTCCATGTGCTCATCTATGTTACAGGGGTGTCACATTGTGTTCTCTTCTATGCTCTATGTCAGTGAAAAGCAGTATGTGAATACATCTTTTTCTGTGATCTCTGCAGATGGAATGATCAGCCATGTTTGTGCTGTGAACCTCAGCGATGGCACCAACGTCTTACATCACAGCATCCGCACGGCTGATGCACCTCATATACTGTCTCTGTTTCTGGATGTTGACCCCACACCCCTGAACATGCAGGATGATCGGGGAGAGACAGTCCTACACCTGGCCTGTAGACTCAAGAGAAAGAAGTCTGTGGAGCTACTGCTGGTGAGTCACTCGATAGAAATGTGTTTGAAGCTTGAGAAAAATGTTTGTGAAACTTGATGTGGATGTTTATCTTTCTTCTTCTTGTTAACGGTCACTGGCTGTAAGCTCTGGTGGAAAATTGTGGTTGTTCATCCATTTCTGAACTTTTATCTTGTTCCATAATTTGAGTTTTGCCTGCAAGTTCTTCTCACAGATCTCACTTACATGCATGCAGATTGTTGGTTCCTCGCCTCTCAAGCAGATGCCCTCCGATTTCAAAGGAAACACCCCCTAATTGGTTGCTTTTTACGATGTACTTTTTTAGCAAAATGTGTCTGTTATTGCCCCCCCCCCCCTTCCCACCCCCCAAATATATGTCCTCACATAGGGAAAATTCTTGCCAGCTGGCTTAGGTTATAATTCATACTGCATAGATTATGTATTATTGTAATGAAATATAGGCAGAAAGGGGTTAAATGAACAAGCATACATTACAGACCACCACACGGCGTACTAATCCATCACTGTGTGAAATGACAGAAATAGGTGATTAGAAAGCCATGGCCTAGCCAGCTATGCAGAACACACCGCCATGACATCTGACAGTGAGGGATGAAACATTCGACGAGTGCCCGTGAACTGTGACCAGCTGACGAGATACGTTCATCCAAACGTGACCACCAAAGACAGGTGACAGAGAAGTGATGGAGAAGGTACGCCAGGAGGAGCGGGAAAGCGGTGGAATAAAGTCAGAGCCAGGGGCTTGAGAAGTTAGTTAGCCCCGGGACCGCTTGAGAGGGGAGTTAGTCCCGGAACCGCTGGAGAGGACAGTTAGCCCCGGAACCGCTGGAGAAGACAGTTAGGGCTAGACCGCTAGAGAAACCGGTTAGGAGAAAACTAGTGCTTTACTTCGTTAGAAGGTATATGTTAAACTTGGAGTTTAGCCATAACAGTGGTTAAGGAACTCGTAGAGGCATACGAATAGCCAGTAATAAGGAGTGTTCATATACTATTGCTTATTGAATTTATGAAGTCTGTGTGACGAGAATATTGTAAATAAACCAGCTCTTGTGTAATTGATTACATCACTGGCCTTGTTCTTGAGTACGATTGAAGAGAGCTACGAACTATATTCATTCAACTTGGCCGACTTAGGCACATCTATTTCTTGGGGGATGTACAGACGCCCCGTTTAGACAAGTATGAGGATATTTGGAGCCGTGACCAACGATCAGTCTTGTGTACTCGACATCTTTAAAAAACAAGACTGCTGTTACAACATAACAAATAAGCAACTGCTATAAAAAGGTGAACTAAAAGCAAGTTTATGATTGTGCCTGCTGAGTAAGAAAAGTCGAGAAAAACCGTCATCAGAATAGAGAGACGTAAACCAGACCAACAGCCTGCACCACCTTTTGGAGCCAACCGTCTACACTAGAATCAGGGGGACACGCCCGTTCTAGCCTGGAGCAAACCGTCTACACTAGAATCAGGGGGACGCGCCCGTTCTAGTCTGGAGCCATAATATAAACTTTTCCTAACTTTACACACTCGGAAGACTATAGGAAAGTCAAGAACTGTGAGCTGTCCGATTTTACAAATAGGAACTGCAAAATAAGCGCGATTTTAAAGAACCTTGAACATTAACATTAATTAGTTTAAATATATTGTGATTTTCAATTTTACAGTGGTGTAGAGAAAACCTTTTCTTATCTTTCCCTACCTTTCCTATTAACTTAGAAAATAATTCCAGGACAGTGCCGATTTTTAATTACAGTGTGTTATGAAAAGAGAATTTTTTTTTCAGACCGCACTCAACAAGGTAATTTGACATTTTCTGTTTTTTCAATTTTAATTTACTTGCATTAGTTAATTTCCCAGATTTTTTTAAAATGGCAGAACAGGGAACAGTAGAAGCCCAGTTCAGCAGAGTTTTAGGAGAAGTCAGCAAGGCTGTCTCCAGATTAGATTGTAGCGTTCGGCGACAGGGAATAACAGGGGTTATTGAACCTTTCAGGGGAGACACAAAAAAGTTTAAAAAGTGGGTAAACGAGATAGAAAAGTATGCTTTCCTTTCAGGTGCGACGTTTCGACATCAAACGTTTAGCATACCAGATGAGTTCTTCCCCGGTTTCAGAACACATAAGAAGAAGATTAGAGCAGAATGAAGAAGAAACCTGGGAAGAACTGAAAAGAGACTTAGCACAAAATTTCAGCGATGTCACAGACAGACAGATGGCCTTTTCCCTCTTACGACAGATCAAACAGGGCAAAGATGAGAGCGTACAGAATTATTCGCAGAGAATACAGAGTCTCGCGCAAGATGCATTTCTTAAAGAAGAGATACAATCACAACAAACTCAGCTTATTTTAGTTTCAGTCTTCAGTGACAGTTTAAGGGACAGTTCACAAAAACTTCGTTTATTGCGTTCTGGGCCAACAACTCTAGAACAGGCAGTAGCCATAACTCTTAAAGAAGAGAGTTTAAGACGAAAAGTGTTCCTTCAAACTGGACGAAGAACAGAAGAAGAAGAAGATATTAGGTTGACGGAACCCATGGACATATCACATTTTAGACCACACAGAGAAAGACACACAAATGAGAGACACAGACACTCTAACATACAGGCAGTGCAACACACTTTAACGTGTTATAACTGTTCAGGTCCCCATAAAGTCCGATTTTGCCCGGCAGGTAACCGACCCACAACACAGCCGATAAACCGACCGCTCGTTAACACAGATTTCAGAGGTGAAAGGTCGTGGCAGGTCAGTCACAGAAGTCCGGGATTTAACACACAAAATAATGGCGGCTGGAGAAACAATTATTGGGGAAACACGCAATCCGCTCGCTGGCCGAGGCACAGCTGAGCGACGGACGAGACATAGCCTCTAAAAGTTCAGTAAGACACAAGAGAGATAACGAAATAAATAGGCAGAAGAGAGTTACAAACCATAGACAGATTAATGCATCAGGCAGCCCGTGTTGCTGTTTAATAGAAATCAACAATAATAAGTTTAATAGTCTGGTGGATTCAGGAGCAGATTTGTCACTTCTAAATTACTCGGTATTTAAGAGGATTAGAGGTAGTATAGAGTTACATCACACAAAAGAGAACTTACAGTCTGTCACCGGAGCCAGCCTATCAGTTTTAGGTAAAGCCATGATTCCGTTTTCCATCGGTGGTATACATATGAAACATCCTTTTATCATAGTAAAAACAATGAACCGTCATTTAATTATAGGACGGGACATATTAGTTAAACATGGCATAAGGCTATATTTTGACCTTAAAAAGCTTAGAATTAGAGGTAGGTAGGTAGATCTTAGAGATGACATTCACGTTGCTTCGGTGGTACGTACTAAACAAACAGTCATCCTCAAACCTAATTCAATCAACGTAGTGATGTCGGGTTTAAAAAGAAACCCATATTTCCTGCCAGGTCAAACTATTCGAACAACAGCGCTTCAGGAAGCACTGTTAAACGAACCGTGCTTATCAACTACAGATGGCATTGTAACGTTAGGTAAAAGACTTTGTTTTCCGGTCCTTATCACAAACGCGACAGGGAAAACTGTCAAATTGAAGAAAGGAAATATTGTAGCTAACGTAGATAGAGATATTCTAGAGGTAACAAGTTCAACGGGAGAGGCACCGAGAGGAAGGAATAGCTATAAAATAGCAACTGTTACTACACATAAAGTCGATGCTAATCGATTTACCGGTTTCCCCGGTAGGCGAAGATATGATAACGAGAGAGCACACTACAATATAGATAAGCAGAGTTTCAGACCACAGAGACCGAATCCATACCATGACATTCAGGGTCAACTGAGGTCATGTGTACAAAATGAACGAGGGCATTTTAAAAATTTCCATAGAGCAGACAGGTTGAGAAAATAAGAAAATAATAGACATATAAGAGCACAGGAGCAGTGGCATAATAATAGTAACAGATATCAGAACATAAATAGAGTAGGAAATATCCATGATAATAACCGAAGTCGAGTTAGGTCATGTAATTCAGATACCAGATTCAGCATGATGAGCACTAATCAAGCCAACAAATTCAAAAGAGACAGGTTAAGAAAATTAGGCTACAATAAGAATATAAGATTGCAAAACTTAGGAAATAATCGCGAGGTCAGTAACTATAACGGATTATGGCAGACAGGTAATAAAACCACGTGCGCTGCTGATGATGAGACAAATAGATTAGTAGTAAGAGGGTTAAAAGAGAGGAATCCCATGAAACGGTTTAATAAAAGCTACATTAACGAGGTAAATGCGGTAACTGTAAACGGGACACACGGTCAATATTTTAAAGAAGAAAGGAACATAGAAACACGTAAGAAGTTAATAACGACTAAAGTTAAGTCGGAACAAGAAGAAGATAAAGAGGCTTGTTTGGCAATGGAATGGTTATGGGAAGTAAACGCGGTAGAAGTAAAAGGACTAGTTCGTAATAGCGCACAAAAGGAAGTAGACAGGGTAAGAACACTTAAGGAAACAATTTACCCGCAAGTATTGGGTGGTGCACAGGTGATGCCTACAGAAGAAGAAGGTGAGGGAATAAATACATTACCGTTTGTAGTTAGTAACATAAAGGTAGATTTATTCTCAGAAAACTACGACGCTGATAATGAAGTAGGGATCACTAACAAAACGGGTCGTATAATTTTAGTCGCTGTTAGAACCAGGACTAATACTCCTAGTGTGAAAGAATTAAAACCGTCAGAAGTACCAGTTAACGGTACATGTGATCGTAGAAGAGAAGAAGAAGAAACAGTAGAAACTACGCCTTACCAAAGAAAGAAACACGAGACAAGAATTTCTGAAATTAATTCACATACAGATCTAAAAGAGAATATAGTTTTACAGATACAGAGGGACGTAGGGAAAGCCAAACTAACAGAAGAAGGAAGAGTCTGTAGAAGCAAAGGTGGTAATACTGAACCTGGACCGGTAGAAATCGACAGAAGCTGTAGGGCTGACGAGACACAAATGACAGATATTATAACTGAACCGGTAGAAGATAACTACTTCTTGTTTTGTCCTTACCATTTAATATTTACATTTGGTTCTGCACTATGGACGTTTTTTTATCGTGTTGTACTCTCCCGGACAAGTGAAAATCCACACGTTCGGTTGTGGGTGAAGATTACAATACCTACATGTTTTATGTTCGCTAAGAGAGTTACTGGCCACAAAACCTCTCTTATACATTCTGTCAGAATGATGACTGATTTGAGTTTAACCAGACTTTACCGAGGTACACAGTTAGAAACGTACTTGGCGATAAGCCAGTCCAAAGCATGACATGATTGGTAACTGAATATAGGCCGACTATTTCTTTACAGAAGATGCGATATGCATTAAACAGAGGAAGCAACCTCTTAGGGAAGCAACAATAAACGCTGTGGACTATCACAGTAGATAAATGCCTGTAAATACAGGTGGTGGCATTGTACATTCGACTTGAGGAAATGCTACGATTGTTTCTGAGAAATTTCTCTCCAATTAATATACCTAACGGTATAAGAATTATTTATACTCTGTAAAGGTTATACCTTATTGTTCAGTCTATGTTGACTTTCTCAGAGATTCTATTTTCATCCTTTCTTGGGGAGATGACATTTTCGAGTTTTATTTTATTGATAACTGGGGATACATGGCATGTCATTTCTTGTATACAATGTTTTCAGGTTTGAGTTTATAAAGGAGGAATACAGATACTATTCCTTTATACTTCAGACAACTCCGCACATTCATTAGGGATACCAGTGAATAAGAGGTTGTTATGCTAATACAACGAGGGAGTTGTATCGTTTTTTTTTTTTATGTCTTTAGAATTATTGACTATTAGTTATTGTATGCATGTCACGTTTTTCATTATTCTGCATGAATTTTTATGATGTTACATGTTATGTTGTATGCTTTCATTACGTGGCTAGATGTTCACATAAGGTTTAGTTAGGTAGCGGGTATAATTAGAGTAGTTTTTATAAAATTGAAGATAGGAAACAATTTTGTTAAAAAGTGTGAAGGGCGAATGTAATGAAATATAGGCAGAAAGGGGTTAAATGAACAAGCATACATTACAGACCACCACACGGCGTACTAATCCATCACTGTGTGAAATGACAGAAATAGGTGATTAGAAAGCCATGGCCTAGCCAGCTATGCAGAACACACCGCCATGACATCTGACAGTGAGGGATGAAACATTCGACGAGTGCCCGTGAACTGTGACCAGCTGACGAGATACGCTCATCCAAACGTGACCACCAAAGACAGGTGACAGAGAAGTGATGGAGAAGGTACGCCAGGAGGAGCGGGAAAGCGGTGGAATAAAGTCAGAGCCAGGGGCTTGAGAAGTTAGTTAGCCCCGGGACCGCTTGAGAGGGAGTTAGTCCCGGAACCGCTGGAGAGGACAGTTAGCCCCGGAACCGCCTTGAGAAGACAGGGCTAGACCGCTAGAGAAACCGGTTAGGAGAAAACTAGTGCTGTACTTCGTTAGAAGGTATATGTTAAACTTGGAGTTTAGCCATAACAGTGGTTAAGGAACTCGTAGAGGCATACGAATAGCCAGTAATAAGGAGTGTTCATATACTATTGCTTATTGAATTTATGAAGTCTGTGTGACGAGAATATTGTAAATAAACCAGCTCTTGTGTAATTGATTACATCACTGGCCTTGTTCTTGAGTACGATTGAAGAGAGCTACGAACTATATTCATTCAACTTAGCCGACTTAGGCACATCTATTTCTTGGGGGATGTATAGGCACGACTGTGCCACATTATTTGTAACAAAATGTCGGAGGATATATTGTTAAGTTTAATATATTTTAAGTGTAGTTTTTAAATAATTGTGATAATTGTATTTGATAATCACTGGGATAATTGTAATCAAATAACTACTACTGTATTTAATATCATCATCACATTCTGTTTTCCAGGCTCGGCCCGACCTTGACCTCAACATCCGGACGTTTGATGGTTGTCTGCCAGAAGAAGTCACATCTTCTAAAGCCATCCGCAAAATGGTAGAGAAAGCGCGACCATCTTCCGCTCAAATACCAGTAAAGTAAGTATGGCTTCTCTGTATCTCTGTTTTTTTTTTTTTTCTTTTTCTTCTTTGTCTTCTCCGCACTTTCTTTTAATCTCCCAAAGAGATGCAGAGGTGCTTCTTCTTCTTTGTTCACCGGCTGTAAGCTCCGATGGAAAGTCCTGGTTGTTCGTACATTTATAGTTATACTTTGACTTTGTGCCAGGGTTCTGCTTGTACATCCATTTTACTGGCTTATTTGTATGCAGTTGGTTGTTCCTCGCAGCTGGGATAGATGCATCCTGACTTTGAAGGAAGTCCCCAGTTAGTCGACTCTTACGACGTGCTTGTTGAAGAGGCAGTAGGGCTATGATTGTTTTCCCCCACAATGGGGCCCCAGAACTCTCACTGTTAAACATGCAGAGAGGCTGAATCACATGTGAGGGTGCACGATGACCAAAGCTCATACTGGACAAGACCTGTCTTTTCTCCATAGTCAGCCTGGAATACAAGAGGCCAGGCCAACAAAGATGGGATTACTGCCTGAGTGCGTCTGAACCAGCAGTCTTCACACAAATAAGCCACATCTGTAAAACGTGTGTGCATATAAAATTCAAGTTCTGAAATAAGACTAAAGTCCAGAAGTGGATGAACAACCAGAATGTTCCACCAGAGTTTCAACATTTTCTAAAACCTCTTCTGACGCCAAGGCGGATATCTGTAAGAAAGATGTCCATTTCTACCAAAGTGAATCTTGTAATAATTATTATTTGGGCAATGTATTTCCAGTGAACCCTTACTACACCTATACAATTGCCTTAAAATATCCTCTGAGGTGAAAGGGGGAGATAGAATAGGCCCAAGATCTGTAGATCATCCTCCATCCAATACTTCTGTGTAGCATCTAAACAATGAGAAGAAGAGGCAGAAGATCTTCCATTTTCTCCCAACACTTTGCTGAGGTAACTAAAGGAATATAAGAATTAGAATACCCCCCTCCTACCTCAACCACTTCACTTACATTTTCCCCCTAGAAAATGTTATTCACAATGATGGGTACACTTTCATTCATGTATATTTGCTTGAACATACAGTACATATTAATAATGTACATGCAAGAGAGAGAGGAAGGTCTGAAGTTTACAAACTTACCATAGAGGTTATAGGTGTTCAGTATGGCCACCCTCTGCTGCTCGGCAAACATTTCAGCAGCAGCTGAACTTATCCCATGCAGGAAGAAGCAACTCTTATATAACTGAGTTGGTTTGAACTAATTGGTGGCTATATGCTGAATCAAAGACGGGATTCTCACTGCACTGCCGAACTCAAAAGCACAGAAAACTTTCTGCTACGTGGTGGCCATCTTACTCAGAACTGAAGGGTCCTTGGTGCTGTGAGCATGCCCTCACTAGTGGTTGGTTACGCAACAGTGCTCTAGTTGTAGTATTTGAAACTTTTTGTAATGTATATTCAGGGAAATATACATTAATGAAAGTGTATTCATTATTTTTAATCTTCTGCTGAGGATGTAACTGAAGGAAAAGAATAGCTGAGAATGTTACATCCCCCCCCTCCCCCCCCTACCCCCCCCCCCCCCCCCCCCCCCCAACAATTTCACTGAAGTAATTTGCTGAAGTGAAGAAGATCCTCAACACCCCCCCCCCCCCCCCCCAACACCCCCCCCCCCCCCCCCCCCAACACTTCACAGAGTTAACTAGAGGAAAAGAAGAAGCAGAAGATTCCAAATCACTGCCCTTCTCGTATACCCAACATTTTACTGAGATAACCAGAGCAAGAGAAGTACTCACTGAGATCATTTATGTGCTTAGGTGTTTTGTATAATGTTCTCATGCCATTTGACAAAGTATAATGTTCTCATGCCATTTCACACAGTATAATGTTCTCATGCCATTTCACACAGTGTAATTTTCTCATGCCATTTCACACAGTATAATGTTCTCATGCCATTTCACACAGTATAATGTTCTCATGCCATTTCACACAGTGTAATTTTCTCATGCCATTTCATCCTTGTCCCCAGCAACACCCAACAGCTGCAACAGGAAGACGCTTCCATCTGTGGCAGCGGAAAGACATCAAGTCTTGGCGCATCAACAGTCAACTTTGACAAAGTTCACTCTCGCTATGAAAAACTCAAAAAACTTGACTAAAGTTGTGTGAGAAATCCGGCCATGTGCAGATCTGCATCCATTGATCAGCCTTTTTGTGACAACTTGACACAGCCCTTGTGCTTCTCTTTGAAGAGATCTTTTGTCAGACGACAGCAAGAAGGAAGAGTTCAGCTGTACTGTGAGTTGTGAGGAGAGTAACAGTTCATTGCAGAGTATCTCATGTTCTGATTTTCGGCAGAGCAAACATTTAGCATGCAGTGAAGAAGGGATCTGGACAATACTCAAAGCTTAGGAGAAAAGATTAGTGGTTTTTCACTGACACCATTGCCATGGGAACTATGTCAAGAAGTCTGATGTTGGCTCACTGAAGGAGCCAGAGCACTTGTGGGAACATCCCAAGTGCAGTGATGTCAGTGCTCGAATCATTCATCTATTCTGAAATAAGGGAGCACATGTGGGAACATCTCAAGTGCCTTGATGTTAGTGCTTGAATCATTCATCCATTCAGATGTGACGGACCACATGTAGGGGAACATCCCAAGTGCACTAATGTTAGTGCTTGAATCATTCATCCATTAAGATGTGACGGAGCACATGTGGGAACATCCCAAGTGCAGTGATGTCAGTGCTCGAATCATTCATCTATTCTGAAATAAGGGAGCACATGTGGGAACATCTCAAGTGCCTTGATGTTAGTGCTTGAATCATTCATCCATTCAGATGTGACGGACCACATGTAGGGGAACATCCCAAGTGCACTAATGTTAGTGCTTGAATCATTCATCCATTAAGATGTGACGGAGCACATGTGGGAACATCCCAAGTGCTGTGATGTCGGTGCTTAAATCATTCATCCATTAAGATGTGACGGACCACATGTAGGGGAACATCCCAAGTGCACTAATGTTAGTGCATGAATCATTCATCCATTAAGATGTGACGGAGCACATGTGGGAACATCCCAAGTGCAGTGATGTCAGTGCTCGAATCATTCATCTATTCTGAAATAAGGGAGCACATGTGGGAACATCTCAAGTGCCTTGATGTTAGTGCTTGAATCATTCATCCATTCAGATGTGACGGACCACATGTAGGGGAACATCCCAAGTGCACTAATGTTAGTGCTTGAATCATTCATCCATTAAGATGTGACGGAGCACATGTGGGAACATCCCAAGTGCTGTGATGTCGGTGCTTAAATCATTCATCCATTAAGATGTTTTAAATTTGTTTATGGTTCGATCAACATTATGCTGTGTAATCAGTGGCTTGATTCACATTCAGATTTGTAGTCAGCTTCGATGTATGTTACTTCAGTTGATTTATTTATATTCAGCTGTATAGTATGTGAACAAAGCCCTAACTGTTTTCTCAAACGTCTAATTCATATGAAGCTGCATTCACATCAGACCGATCCATTTACGGCTGTCTGTTCCACAGACCAATCATTCTACAGCTGTTTACACAACAGACCAATCAGTCAATCTTACAACTGTTTACTCAACAGATTCATACACATTTTACAGCATTACTCAACAAACCAAACCATTTTACAGCCATTTACTCACCAGACCAATATGTTTTACAGCTCTTTGCTTAATAAATTTATTTACCCAACAGATTCATATACAACTACATATTCTGTTGGCCAACATCCAGCAACTGTACTAGACAGACGAGTAGTCTCCAACCATTTTCAGGTTACCGCCCCCCCCCCCCCTTTTTTTTCCCCATAAAAATAACAAAATGTGATTAAAAAGAGAAGGACATTGATTCTGCAGCAAGAAAAACAGAAAGTATGGAGACACATTATGGTCAAAATGTGTTCCTAATCTAAAATTTAATGCGTGTGTTGTCATATTAATTAGATTTTTAACCGTAGGAATGCAAACTGCTCATGGAAGAAAAAAAACCTTGCCGTTTTGTCACTGACTTTCAAAATTGTTTGACGTCCTTCTTGCCCCCCCCCCCCCCCTTTCCAGGTTGGAGACTCAACATATATTTATTTGAGTTTTACTAGTCAGTATAGGGCCTTCTTTCTTGCCATTGGTGCACTGGGTATATTTGTGTGAACTTGGCACTCGTTGGGTGGGTGATGAGGTCCGCGTGACACCTGCTGTCATCATTCCCCAGGTAAAGGTAAAGTCGGGAGATGTGAACCAGCGTCTTTGCACACGGTTATAACCCTTAAGTGCTCTGCCACCACTACAGACAGTTAAGAAACTGTCCGTTTGTGTTGCTGTCCGCACGTAACTCTGTAGCTACAGCGCCGTTCCTCCATTTACCCCAGAATGTCACTCTGGTACACATTTTCTAGAGACTGGGTGAACCCCAATTTCGAACACCGACCGTGGCTGCAGCGATTAACGTAGCTGTATTTGAAAGCAAGTCTCCTATCGACTGCTAGTCAGTGTTACAAAATAAATCATTCCTTCTGAAAAACGAACAAATAAGTCACAAGATAATAACAAGTATATATCTTGTTGATATATATAAGATATTGTTTTTCCACAAGTGGATGTGAAAGTGTGTGAATGTGTTGTTTTTATTGTCTCCAAAAAGAATTATTAAATAAGAGATAAAATATTTCATTGTACATATCCTTGTTATTATGTTGTTTGCTCAAGATTAATAGTGCTAATATGAAAGTGGGAGGAAAGGGTTGATCAAATAAGGGATAAGAAATGTTGAAGCTATTTCAAGACTGAATATGTTCTTCTTCTTTGTGTTTACTGATTGCAAACTGTGGCGGAAAGTTCTGGTTGTTTGTCTATCTCTGGACTTTAGTCTTATTGCAGAACTTGAGTGTTTTACAGATCTGACATACTTGTGTGCAGATTTTTGATTCTTTGCCTCTCCGGCAGATGCACTCCGACTTCGAAGGAAGTACCCAGTTAATCCATTTTTACCACATGCTTGTTGGGGAGGCAGTGGGTCTATTCTTGTTTTCCCTACAATGGGGTCCCGGAACCCACACGGGGAATTGAATGAATTGACTGGCAATTTTTAGGTAACAGCCCAGAGAGGTCAAATTGATTGATAGGGTCCTCACATCATAACACAGATGTCCGTCTTTAACTCTTCGAGTCCCAAGGACTCATACGTTCATAAGTTCAATAAGTCAACTAAAGGAAAGGAAAAGACACCCACTTCAGACCCGCTTAACCACCATTCCATGTATAGTGTTACTATAGATTGACTCAGGAAGTTTCACAGGCAGCACAGCTGTACATGTTGATGTTGATGATGTTAATTTTTTTATTGCTGTTGTTATTTGTACACACTTCTATGTATACATAATTGGTGATCAATTAAATGTAGATATTCTAGACTATATTGTAGTCACTTTAATGTTACATTTTTTGTGGATATCTATTTCTATGTCTCAAACAGTTACCATGAGTATTATTTAATTATGTATTCATTGTTCTTCTTCTCATATGTTCACCCATTTAATGGGGGGGTTGGCACATTGATTTGTGTTTGACAGCTAGGCTGTGATATCAGTAATATTTTTTTTTAATACAATCCATTTTAGTTGGTTTCTAATTAGTTGTCTTTTACGAAAAGCTTGTGATGGGTTATATTCCCCCACCCCCAGTATCCTATATAAGAAAAATACTTAATTTTGGTATGCTGGTGCAATGGCCAGCACTCTTGGCTGCCAGCCTGATTGTGGTGTGTTAAAATCCTCACCCAAATGATATTTTTTTTTTTTAAATCAGTATTCTGAGTTGCCATAAAATGAAGGATACTTGTCAGCATATTGTGTCCAAGTAGTGGGACTCCGTCGGAAAACTGCAGATTATGTTCTAGAAGACTCCCTTTACAACCCATTATTCATTAGTTAATCTTTCCTCTCAAGCCTTGGGCGACGCATAGGGCAGAGGTCATAGTGCTCTATGTCTGACGGTGTGTGCCACCTATTTTAGGCCTCAGATGTTCATTAGGCCCATGGTTGAACCTTTCCTGATCACAGTTCTATGCAGAATTGCGATCGGTTAGTCGGAGTTCAGTCCCTTGGCTGCAGTGCAATTACGGAGTGGAAAAGAGGGAACAAAACAAATGACATAAATGGTTTGGGTTACGGGTAGGGTTAGGGTGAGTCGTAGCACGTGGTCTAGCTCTAGCAGCCATGTCGAGGGCACTTTGTTTTGTGATTCGTGCCTTCTCCACACAGTTCAGTCCCCTGGCTACAGTGCAATTACAAACTGGCCATAGTTTAAAGGAGAACCAAGATTTTGAATGGGAAGTCTGGTCTTATCCATTCACAGTGCAAGGCCGATCTAGTTCCAGCAAAAACAGGAATAAGAACCGTTTACCTGATAGCCTTTTCTGTGTTCTGTATAATGTAAAGGCGGCCGGTTTAATGTCTACATCTATAACCCATCTAGGGTCGACTGGTCTTGAAAATATGGTTCTATTATCACATGCACAAGACGCCAGTAGCGTAGATGAGGTTCTTCACTTTACTTTCACTATTTACAATAATTCTGTTCATTGTGAAAGACAGAATCTTCCATTCTTCTCCATCGGGTCTAAACTGAGTTATGGTTGTTCATCCACATCGTGTTCTAGCAAGTGAGTGGTGCGTGCACATCCCCTTCACTTGCATGCACTGTTGGTTCCTTGCATCTCAAGCAGATGTACCCCACATTTGAAGGACGCTCCCATTTAATCGACTCTTTTGACATGCAGTCTGTGGTCTATTCTTGTTTCCCCCCAGAACCCACACAGGAAAGCATGTAACTGATCTTTGCTGCCCCTTCAACCCATACTTGAAGAGGTGTGAGAATATTGACTTTAGTCAGAGCATGCATTAGTAGCTGTTATTTATGTTTTAATGTCAGACAATCCAAAATCATCGAGATCGTTGTCCACATCAAACTGGCAACCTATTTTCATGACCGCTGAATCTAAAAAATGTGAACTATTAAAAAAGTACCAAAAGTACCCCCCCCCCCCCCTATACGATTCAAGCATTATTAGATGGATGGGCCCACAAATATCGTCTCAATCTGAGCTAGTTTAGATGAAAT